AATTAAACATAAATACATTACTTCACTTTGAAATCAAATTGGCAGTCATTTGAGTAAAAATTACCCCAAAAAGCTTTCCAAAACCACCAAAGATGCAACAAACCACCGGAAAGATTATAGCCTCTAGAATTTGGATTCCGCAAGAAATTATTTTTATTAACCATTTGAAAATGAATCTAGATATGCTCTCCTTTAAGCCATCCTACAAGAAAAAATATTTGGAATCGAGGTCCAGAAAGACTAAGAACTTTTTGGTTAAAGAACCTCAGAATTTGGTTCAATAAAACATCTCTGCAGCTTTTCCGCGCTGCTGCAGATAATATAAAGAATTGCCACGATGATAGCCAACATTCGTAACGGATAGGCACATCAAAAAGAAGAATAACTATTTGAACCATGAAGAAACATCAACAGCATCTACTTTGGTTTATTGGGGTGTTTGAAGACCGAAATCGCAAAGAAGAGGCCTCATTTGTTCAAGAAACAATTGTTTTACCAAGACAATATGCTGTTTCACAAGTCGATGAAAACGATGACAAAAATGCACGAATTTGACTTTGAATTTCTTCCGCATCCACCTTTTTGGCCAGATCTTAAAAAATACTCCCTGGAAAGAGAAATAAAGTCTAATTTGAAGCCAAAGATAATAATTTTGTAAGGGCGGTATAGAAAAATTAGAAATATATATATATATATATATATATATATATATATATATATATATATATATATATATATATGTGTGTGTGTGTGTGTGTGTGTGTGTGTGGGTAGCATTATAAATTGCTATGCTTGTGAAGCCTAATTAAAATCTATTTTTTTATTATACCTATTAAGTGATTTGTTGCTGACCTAAGTTACAAGAATTAACAAAAAAAACCAGTAAGCTTCCGGTCTTTGTTCAAGTCGGTGTCTTTAGTATCGAATCTTAAAGTAATTCAAGTATTTGTCTACGCATGTAGTAATTCCCGTTATTGAAGAATAAAATAATCGAAATTCCTACAGCGTAACCAGATACTCTTTTATAATCCAACACAGATATTCGTATTTTAGAAAAAATAAGTAATGATCAGTATTTTAGTTTCTTTTTTATAGCTGGTAAGTGATAAAAGTAATTTTTTTTATTTTATATAATGTTTTTCTTTTATATTCCTCATAATTTTTTTGGGTGACCATTTAAGTTTTTTTGGCCTATATTTATTTATGATTTCTTACAGGCAAAATTTAGTTAAATTGAAACTGTTCATCTAAAAAATATTACCAAATTGTAGAACTGATTAAATGATAAATATAATATTAAGCTATTAGCAATGATTTTTAAAAATTTGAAACATAAATCTGTACGATTTCATAACTGACTATTTATCAATCACTTAACCAACCGGCGGAAGGACTAAACGATGACAATGAAAACACTTAAAAAATAATGAAGCCGTTCAAAAAACTTCTATTGAAAAAAACCAAAAAAGTAAATATTATGTGGAAGAGACAAGGTAGATTGTAATGGGCCGAAATAATATGTTCAAGAATATTGTATATATAGTTTACATAGAAAAGAATTTTGATGATTGATTTGCGAGAAAAAGGTTTTATTACAAGCTTTAGTAAATAATATGGAATTTTTTTAACAAATATAAATAAACTGGCAATTAATTGAATAAGTGCATTTAATGTAAAATATGCACATTTAGTTTGGTAAATCAGGTCTGTATAGAACGCAAACGATCATCGGCAGCCAATGGTGTTGTTACTCAATCGTTATCATTAAAATTTATTTATTATCTATAGGTATTTATTATGTAATTATGTAATATTTTTTGGCAGGATATCTCACCCAAAAACAATCGTAATGGTTGTACAAAAGTACCGAATAAAGGTTCTAGGAATTTCATGTAACAGTCCGAAAAATGTACGGATCACTACGCACAGACACTCGCGATAAGTGACTCTTGAGGATGATGGCACGGTTGTTGCTATTTCTACTCCTTTTCCTCCTCCTCGTCTCCTCTTCCTTCTCCTCCTTCGACGCCTTCTCCTTCTTTTCCTTCTTCTTCTACTTGGTGTTTTCGACGCAGTCGCAGTCGCTTTGGCTTCTGATGCAGAAGATCTCGTCGGAGGAGAAAGACGACTATCACGCGGGGGACAGCAAAGTGGGCAGCGGGGAAGAATCATCGGCGGTCGTATGCGCAGCGCATCCGTCACTAAAACAGAAAATAAATTAGTATGTTACTCATATATTTTATAAGTATCTCTATATTATTTATTGAGCTTGAGAAAGCCTATGGCAAAGGTAAAATATATTTATGTATATTTGGACTATTTGGTCATCATTAGTGCAACCAAGTTAGAATAGAAGAATGTTAATGTCGAAAGGGATCATTGCGGGAGCAATATGACCAACTTGTAGTAGTAATGTTATAAGACCCTGAGGTTTCCAGATCTTACAACTAACGTTTCGTTTTTTATGAATATTTCTGTTGTTAAAACCAGTTACATCTTGGACTCTAAATATCAAATTCCCCAAGACACATTATCCACATATAAAACATTGCATGTCTAATACGCACTTTTCATTTCAAAATTATTTCTATTATCAAATCAAAGGTTTCCCAATGGGATCCCCCTATCTCCTGAAATAACTTATATCTACATGGACCATTTGGAAACAACAGCCCTGTCCTTATCAAATCTCAATTCCACCTGTTGGTTACGATACGTTAATATCTGTGTCTCTCCCACCTGAAATTAACAAATTCTAGTATTCAATTAACGATGGATGTTGAGTCTGAAGCGTCTTTGCCCCTCGTTAATGTTCTTATTGAGAAATTCTCATCTCACAGTTTTTTCTATTCCGTGCACCAGAATCCTATCCATACAAACCGTTATCTCAGTGCCTGGTCACATCGTCATCTCGAATTAATTTATTAACAGTTTTATTTTTTGTTTCATAAGACTTAGGTGTAACTGACAAGATCAGTAGAACTTTTAGTCTTCTAAATATTAAATCCATCTTCACTTCGCACTTCAAGTTATCCAATCTCGTCAGATCCGTAAAAGACCAAGTCCCCTATGAAGACCATGGTGTATACGAAATCCTTTGTTCCAGTTACCCACGAACATACATTGGACAGAAAAATCGACGAAGCAACAACCATATTTACGAACATTCTATATCTTTAAAACATTTCGAAACAAGCGCGATGACGCTGAAAGACTGCCGGCAACATGGCGACCGCCAGCCCAACCCATTCCGCTCATACCATTTTCGCCCATAGAGTTCCCGCGCATACTGGTGGGATAAAACAGCTATACAGGGTAAGACCGGTCGTCGCTCGACACTGAGAAGTAGGTAGATTGAGACCTCAGTGCCGTGCAGTAATGAATTGATTAGTGATCAATGTAGTAGTGTCTAGTGGCTCGGCATACTGAGACCTCGGAAGCTATAAGGAAGACATCGAAGAGGATGTCGAAAGCTGAGAGGAAAAAAATACGTAATCTCTCAAATAATTATTATCCAAGGAAATATTAAGGGTAAGAGATAAGTAGGTTGCAAACAAATGTCGGGGCCACATTCTCGAGCTTGTACATGTCGCAAAAGAGAAAGTCTGAACTTAACATAATTGGCCAACAGATATAGGTACACGGCACTATAAGAAAAAGTATTCTTTCTTTTTTTATTTTTTCTAAATGTCTGGACCATCCCAATATTGATGCTTTTATAACTTCTGATATCAAAGGCGCTTTAAAGGGACTGATGATCTCAGCATTTTTTTCTATATATCTGCCCCTCTTTGATACCTCTACAAAGTGTTCTTAATATTGTCCTGTCTCATGTATTTATTTTTATGGTGTATTTTAATTTGTATGGTGTAGCACTACCCATGTTTATGCTAGTGTGGAAATTTACCTCAAAACTACTTTGTATATGTGTATTTTGGCTGATCTCACCATTTTAAAAGTAAGAATTTAATGTAAAGCTTCTGAATTTTTTTTTATTCTTGCGACCAGCTCACAGTCATGTTTTCTGCTCTCATGTATACTATTTCTTAGGTAAGTGAAATTTTCTTTTTTTTTATTCTAGTTCTTCGTCTACATTCTTGTTAATCTTGAAGATTACCCGTTCTCTATATGTTGTTGGAGGTAAATTTGGTAAATTTATTTACTTTAATTTATTTTTTCGACTGATTTGAAATACACTGCATATATATATATATATATATATATATATATATATATATATATATATATATATATATATATTTATATGCATCTCTCAAGTCTACAAGTCTAGCCTCAATCACATCATCCACATAACCAAAATAGGATAGCACATTGTTCTCATATTTTTCATAAGCTCATGATCTATTTGATTTATATATTTACCATTTAGAGCTGTCAGGAATCCCGGTGGATGTTTTTATGGGCAAACTTTGTGCTTATAAGAGATAATCTTTCTATTATTGCTAGGTTAAAATTTCTGTTTTCTAATCTTTGCATTGAATTCTCCTATTAATATCTATATAACAGTTTGATAATAAGTTACAATAGATCTTATTATGGTATTTTGGCTGGGACATAAATCCATAAAAGATGTTATAAGATGGAAACAAAGTAAATAGCTGTACATGTTTAGTTTTATATTTTATATTGGTTCAGATGCACCCACTTAAAAAAAATCTTGGTGGCACCAATGAGTGGATTTAATATAACATTAGTTATTCCAAAATTAAGGCATTAGGATATGAAAATATTACATAAAGAATATTCAGTATATTTGAAGAATTTCAAAATGAAAAAAATTACAAGGTCTATGTGATACAAGTTCATTAAATTTCCAAAAATAAAGAAAGATCTGATAACAGTGTTAAATACTATCATAAGACCGGCCGTATTACAAAACTTTTACAAGTCAAAATTAATATAAATCTTGTGATATTTATAACGGATCATAAACAAATATTGACAATACTTCATTGCGGTGTCATATAGACATCAGTCAGCAAAATGTTTCAGAATTTTTCTTAAAGAACTACATACAAAGGAATTTCAAGAGAATAATTTGCCGAAAGAAATGAAACTATAGATTATGATCGAGTCAGTTAGACACACTTTATTGTTAAAAGATATAAAAGGTAATATAATGTTTTCTTAATTTTTGCAATTTCTTTTTAAATTTATAATTAATCTGACACTGGAAGCACACATAAAAGAAGCAAAATAAGCGTAGCTAATACAAGACAAACCCTACATTGACATATAAACTTATAAATATAAGTAATGTATAAACAGATATATACCGGACATTATCGATATAAGGGAAATTATCGTAACTTTTCTTAACTTAAGTAGTAATTGGCTCACCTGATTTCTATGATAAGATTATCATTAGAGGAAGTTGATAATACTTCCGTATGAAATTTTTTTCGTATACTATACTGCGCGGCATAAGTTAAGGATATTCCAAATATAATGGTAATGGTACTTTATTTTGCATCAATTATTTGTAAGTAAAAAATTAAAAATTATTATATTTTTTAACAAACATGAAAATTTAATACACTATAAAGAGAATCAGGCCAAAAAACCTTTTAAGGATTGACAAAGCATCTGTACGTCTACACTTCAGTGCAAAATATTCGACTCAAAATTATTTTGGGTCTCCTGTTTCAATCTAAAAAGTGTAAATTTAAAAATATTTAGTGTACAATCATTAAACCAATTATTTAGTTTTAAAAAGTTTTGTTTTACAATGAATCGGGTGACGTATTACAAATAAATAGTGCAACACGTAGAGAGGGGGAGAGAATTGGACTCATTGAAATCGACACGCATTGAATTAACATGTTCGATTAACATTGTACATATTACTTCCAAACTGTCTAGCAACTGTGAAATCAACAGTGGATTCAAACAGGGTGATACGTTATCTCCACTACTCCACTACTGTTTAACCTTGTATTCGAGAAAGCCATGATGTCGGCCAAAATAAAAATAGAATTGCTGTCGTTTCAAGGTCCCAAGCTGTTACTCGCATATGCAGATAACATAGATCTCGTTGAAGACCCCATCCTATCTACGAAAGACATCTTCAACAAAGTGGAAGGAGCAACAAGTGAAGTAGGACTGAAGATTAATGAAGACAAGACGAAGTATATGTGTATAAATAGAACGACACGAGCAGACAAAATACGACAAAATGTGACGGTCAACACCTTAATTTCGAAAGAGTACAACGTTTTAAGTATCTGGGGGTCGTAATCACAGCTGACAACGATGTTACTGAATAAATAAAAGATATAATCTTATCTACAAACCGCTGTGTATTCGCACTGGATAAGCTCATAAAATCAAAAAATCTTACAAGAAGTTCAAAGATCAAAATCCATAAATCCATCGTCAGGCCTGTAATAATATACGAATGCGAAACGTGGACCATGACCAAAGCAAACGAAGAAAAGCTCAGACGCTTTGAACGAAAAATAGTTAGAAACATCTTCGGTCCTCACCATGACATCACCACAAACCAGTATAAGATCAAAACCAATATCGAATTAAAAGCACTCTACAATGCCGCCTATATTGTCAAGAAATTAAATCACAGCGACTATGATAAGCAGGCCACGTGCATAGACTACATAACAAAAAACTGGTATGGGAGGAGATTCCCACAGGCAAAAGACCACTCGGACGTTCCAGAATGCGATGGAAAGATAACATCCAATCAGATCTCCGGAAAATGAACATTCCATTTCACCCTAGGTTGATGGAAGACCCAACAAATTGGAAAAAAAGTTGTACAGTCAGCTAAGACCCACCCAGGGTTTGTAGCGCTACATGATGATGATGATGACATCTCTGTCCATAGCAACCCACTAATACATCAGTCACTTAGGTTCGCAACTGCATTACAAATGGATACCATATCAGTCAAAGCAGCTCAAGTAGCATTATTGAGACAAGGCCTGAGCCAAAGGGCCCGGCCGTGGTAAATCGACGTAATGTAAACCAATATGATCCCCAGTGTATCCTCGGTACCAAGATACTGGCTGGTGTGTCCATCGACAAGAAACAGGCCGTAAACGAATAACAACGGAAATGATCGATGATCGATTTCTTGTATCAAAATCCCTGATAAATCGACATTTGACTGGTTCTAATCTCAAAGAAGAACTTATAGAGGACCGAAGTGTGGTTACTAGCATTTGGACAGTCAGAAGGAAACTGAAAGCAGCCAACCTAACATCAAAAAGGGCAGCTACGGGTCCCAAACTAACTGCAGTCCAGAAGCAAAGGCGATTAGAATTTGCTCGCGAACATCTGGATTGGGACGACTATCAATGGAGTCAGTTATTATTCTTCAACGAAAGTAGAATCTGCTACATGGCAAAGATAAAAGGCGTTAGTCCAGAGAATGCCAGCAGAGCGGTTTGCTTAATGTTGTATACGAGAAATTGCTTCATTTAGATTCGGTTCTTGTATGTTTTAGGCAGGCATTTCCATCGATGGGAAAATTTAGTTAGTTTTTGTGTCTGGTGGAGGCCGTGAAGGAGGTTTAACAGCAGATAATTACATCAGAGACATTTTGAAGGAACGTGTGCTTCCATACGCGGAATTTATTGTGCTGCCTTTATTTTAATGCACGATAATACACGATGCCATACCGTACGAGTCACCACCACCTATCTGACTGGGATCTAGATACTTACAATAAATTGGTCTGCATTGAGCCCGGACATAAACCCAATAAATCATGTTTAGGATGAGCTTAAACGAAGGATTTAGAAGACAAATCATGCACCAAGGAGCATAATGGAATTGAAAGTCGCGCTTAATGATGAATGTTAAGCAATGCCTCAAGCATTTATTGAACAAGTCATCCGATCCAATCGAAATCGATTGAAAAGTATTATTGGGTATAGGGTAGTAATATCAAATACTGCTTTTGAGTCGATTGTTTTGCACTCAAATAAATTTAAAAATGACCTTTGTTCTCTTAAATGGGATAAACACATTTAATTGTTCAAAAACTGCCTGACCGATTGTGACCATATTTCGCAAATGTAGTTAATACATAAAAACTCACACTGTGACATGTGTTTTAAAGGTTTTTATTGTTTATTTTGTTAATTAAACCTAAACAATTAAAACACAAGCTTACTTTGGGGTTTTATTTGCAATCACTTTTTGTTTATAAACATTTTTTAATTTAAAAAATCTCAGGTTAAGAGTCCACGAAATAATACGCCTTAACTTTATTTATATATTTAATCAAACTTTTAAACCTTCAATTGGATTTATTTTGGTTTAGTATGCCAATGGTTTAGATTTTAATCTCTTTCTTCACACAACTTTTGTTTTTTGGTCACATTTGTCACATTAAGCAAATGATAATATATAAATTATTAGAAGAATTTTTCACCAAGTAACGAAAAACAAAATTTTTTAATTTATTAATTTTTGTATTTTGAAAACAATTTCCGAAGTGGAAATTGAAATGCCAATAAACCTATTTTAACCTTCAATTGTACCTTATTCCCAATAAAATGGTATCTACGTCAAATGCTACAAGAAAATAGCTTCAAAACAATATTAAGAAATCACATAATAGCTCCACGCGGAAACTTCAAATCCAATATTGTATAAACATATATTATACAACACAATCTTAATGTTCATTATCGTAAGCTTCTTTACAATTTTAATATCATTGACTGCTACATATCATTTTGAGGTAACACACTTATAATAACTTTTCTATGGATGTTTGTGTTTCATATTGTTCTTTTTAGATGAACTGATGATGCTTTCTGATTAGAAATAAATAGATGAAGTAGCCACCTTCTTTGTCTTTTTTCTCGCCACCTTTTGACCGAAAAACTCACCACTCTTCGAGTGATCTTTAATTTTATATATATATATATATATATATATATATATATATATATATATATTATATATATATATAAATTAAAGATATTTTGTATTTTTAAAAGCTCTTAATAATAATTGTAATCACAATGAAAGCTCGAGTAAAAAATAGTCAACAAATAGCCCCCTTTTATTGACTCCAACCCATCCAAAACAGTTTTATATTATATATATATATTTATATATATATATATATATATATATATTATATATATATATATATATATATATATAATACTGGATATTAGTGACTGTCGATATAAACAAACAACACAGTTTAATAGGGTTGCAGCCAGCAATTTTGGCCGAGATGTTACAGAAACACTCTTTTGACTTTTGGTCTAGCTTTCGAAATTGTTTTATTCCTTTTTCAAGACACTGTAATTAAAAGAATGGGTAAATATTTACAATATATCACAAATTGTCAGTGCAACTTACTAGTCGTTGAGAAATCGTGTTGTTTGTATATATTGTTATGATAGGTAAAATCGAGAAAAATATTGGTGTGCTTAAAATATTTCAAAGTTCAAAAAAACTTAAAATAATTCAGATAAGTCGAATAATAAACTATAAACATTTCGAAGAATGAAAGTCCATTATTTTTGGATTACTTGTATTAAACAGAACGTAAGATATGCATAAATTATTTTCTTTGTAAAAGATATTTGGGTGACGTGAATGAGCTTAAGTGAAATAGAATAGACAATAGAATAGATTTTAGAAAGATATGTTTTTGTTAGTTCATAAGAATTGGTAGAAAAAGATTAGTTTGTAAATAAGTTTTAGGAAATTTTATAATTGTAGGTAAGAATTTATTTCGTTTGTGTTATCGAAATGAAGAAATGGGAGATGTATTACGCGTTTTGATTGGATGAGATTGAAAAAGGTGGGATGGTTGGTTTGAGAATAAGACTTTAGTTAGTTTCTGAAGAAAAAAAAATATAGTCAGTTGGTTTTCCAAGTGTGCAAGGCGAACAGTCATTGTTCTCTGGTGGTTCCCGAGAGGTAGCAAGCAGTAGTGTTGAATGTTAGTGAGTTTTTGTGGAGTTAGTGTATCTGACAGAAGCTGATCCAGCAAAATATTGTAAGTCATATTTTTCTACTTATATTTCAAGAGTCACTGTTCAGGCCAACGAGAGATTCAGTTTATCGAGAGTAGAAGAGGCTAGCATAATTTGAATGATTCGTGCATTTGAAAGAGATC